TAGGAACTTAACATTACAGAGATCCTAGGTCCAAAGGACTCACTGTATTCTTGGCTCTTTTCTCTTTGTGGTAGCAGGTCCCACTGATCTCTACTCACTTCCCTTTTAGCTTTTGTAAGTACAAGATGGAGTCCTGGTGTGGTGCTGCAGGTTAATGCACTGGGCTGCAAGGTTGGTTTAACATCAAGGTTGGTAGTTCAAGCTCACAAGCCACTCCTTGGAAACCCTATAAAGGGTAGTTATGAGTTGGCACCAACTTGACAGCACTTAACAAAGTAAAAGATGTTGCAGGCCACATCCCAGAGAAACTCCCCTTACATTAGATCAGGCTATGATAAAATTATGGCTGTTGTATATAAACAGATCATGTCATTACATTACAGCCAAACCACAGAGAATCATGCCCCAACCAAGCTGACACATATTTGAGATGTTGCAACAAAAGGATGCGATGGTGGAAGCACTCACTCATCTATGCCAAGAAATTTGAAAGACAGTTATTTGACAAAGTGATCCATATGTGTGCCTATTTCAAAGAAAGGTGATCCAACAGAATGCAGAAATTATTGAACAGTATCATTATTATCACATATAAGTAAATTTTTGCTAAAAATCATTCAAAAAAGTTTGTAGCTGTACATCGACAGGAACTGCCAAAAATTAAAAAAAAAAAAATCAGAAGAGAATGTGGAATGAGAGTTATCATTACTGATGTTTGATGGATCATTACTGAAAGCAGAGAATACAAGAAACATGTTTACCTGTGCTTTATTTAGTATGCAAAAGCCTTCAAATATGTGGATCATAACAAATTATGGATAACATTATGCTGAAAGGGAATTACAAGCTTAATTCTGCTCATATGGAACCAGTACATAGACCAAGAAGAAAGAGGTAGTCATTTGAATAGAATATGGGCACCCTGAGTGGTGTAAAATCAGGAAAGGTGAGCACAAGGGTTGTATCATTTTATAACACTCATTCAATTTGTATGCTAAGCAAATACTTGAGAAGCTGGAGTAGGTGAAGAATATATCCCCAAGATTGGAGAAAAATTCTTTCACAAGCTGTGGTATGCATATGACACAACCTTGATTACTGAAAGTGAAGAAGACAAGTAGTGAAGATTACTGTACAATTCAATATGGAATACACCATAAGGTAAACAAAAATATTTAAAACTGGACTTATAAACAATGTCATAATAAATGGAGAAAATGTTGAAGTTATCAAGGATTTAATTTTACTTTATTTGGAACACCCATGGAAGTTGCAGTGAAGAAGTCCAAGATTCATTGTATTGGTCAAATCTGTTACAAAAGACCTCTTTAAAGTATAAAAAAGCAAAGACGCCACCACTTTAAAGGCTAAGGTACACCTGACTCAAGTTACAGTATTTTCAATGGTCTGTTATGCATGCAAAAGATGAGCAAAGAAAATTTGATGCTTTTGAATTATAGTATTTTCACTATTACTTGTAATTGATTCTTTGGCATACAACAGCAATCTGTATTCTGCTGTTGCAATGTAGAAATATATACTAATGAATAAAGTTGCAGATAGGTTATCAGAAATCAGGTGAGTGAAGGTAGTTTCTACTTTCTCTGAGAATTACTATTTTATGAAGAAAAAAAAAAATGGGATCAAACTTTTCTTCTCAGAGAGATGGGAACAGGGATTAGATAAATATATTGGCCTATCTGGTAGCGTAGTGGTTACAAATCAGGCTGCGAACTGCAAGGTCAGCAGTTCGAAACTACCAGCTGCTCCGCAGGAGAAAGATGAGGCTTTTTGCTCCTGTAAAGATTTACAGCCTCGGGTCGCTATGGGTTGGAACCGACTCGACAGCACTTACGAACAACAACATCAATGTTTAGGTTTAAACCATTATTTACTTGTCTTTGCTATCCATTTGTAGGAGTCCCTAAGGGGCACAAAACGTTAACTATTCCACTACTAGCTGAATTGTTGTTGGTTAGAGACTACACAGATTGCCCTGAAAGAAAGGTCTGATGATCTGCTTCCTAAAGCTCATAATTTAGAAAACCCTATGGGGCATTTTAGTATCTCTTGAAATAGTTGAAAAGGCGGCACAAGAGGCACTCACTCATCTCTGCCAAGAAATTTGGAAGACAACTATCTGGCCAACTGATTGGAAGAGATCAATATTTATGCCCATTCCAAAGAGAGGTGACCCAACAGAA